CTCTGCCTTACCCAGGTGCATTCTCTTCCTGCCCTTGTGATGGGGCAGCAGCATGGGCTCAAACTCCAGGTCTGGGACGATCATGGGCTCAATCCTGTACGCCACTGGGTCGAACTGCACGGAGGAGGGGGACAGTGAGCCCGGGCTCGTGCTCCGCGCATCTCACACAGGAAGGCTCTGGGTCTTATACCTACGGGGTGGAAGATGTTGAAGAAGCCTTTGCAGGTGGGCAGGCTGTAGTTTGGGTTGATCCGCTTCACTCCTCGCACTGTGAGAAACATCCCGATGGGAGACCCAAAAGCAAAGAAGATGGTGGGCTTGTAGTTCAGCTGTGGATAGTTTGCCGAGACCTAGGAGAGAGGGAGATTCGGTTTTTCATGAGACAAACTCCGTGCTGGTGTTACAAGCACCTTGTTGTCACAGTTAGAGCACGGTGTCGAGCTCGGTAGTTACCTGTCCTAAGCCAACATCCCGGTACTGGCAATTCCTGCCGTCGTCTGTGCTGTCCGGGTCACGCTGCAGCGGGGACCCGGGCTCCGCTCCACTCTCCCCGCTGTGCCCGGGACCTGCTGCGCTCTGGTCCTGCAGCAACACAACCAGGACAGCCCCGCTAATGTGGCTCCTGCAGCACCCGCACGCCACAGCCCATCCTACCCACCCGTGAGCGAGCACGGAGGCAGCCAGCTGCCCAGCACCCTGCATCCTCCAGAACCACGGCGGTCTGGGCAGCACCATCCTTCCCCAACCGACCACCTCTAGCTGGCATCGCTAACTGCAGTCTCTACCACCGTTAACAAGTCCCCCGGCTCTGCGATCGCCCGTACAGGCCACGGGATAAAGCGATGCCCGGGTACCAGGCTGATCGTAAGTGGTGGAGGCTGGTCCTTGTTTGAGAGCAGTGGGGTGTGACCTGGACGAACACAAGCCGTGCAGAAGACAAACCTGCGTCTCCATCTTGGGGCTGATGTAATGAAGTATCTTCATTCTTGGTCCTAAGGGAATTCCCATTTCTTTAAGGTTTTTCTCTGTGCACAAGAACTAGAAAATAAGCAACCCAGATATTAGTACAGGAGCAGAGAGGTGAGGTATTTCTGTTCTCTGTAATTCTGTTCCTGCTGCACTCCTCAGAGACACTCCACGTGCGAGTGACTCAGTACCAGGAAGATGTGCACAAGGTGGGAGGACTGGGAAGAAAAGCAAAGAAGAAACACAAGAGGCAGCAAAAACAGGAGAGCTCCTTACCAGTGCTTGCCTGTCCATTTTCTCCTTCTCAAAAACATCACAATATTCGGACAGCTCCAGCTTCTTCAGGATTTCTTTTACTTCCTCAATACCCCCGGTGCTTGAGGTTGTCCTGGACCCCTGTGAAAAGAGCCATCGGGGATCACGCTTGGCGCTCGCTGATTTTCTCCTGCGCGTTCTGGAGTCTCTTCCCCGCCTTCCCCAATCAGCAGCCACAGCAGCAGGTCGGTGTGACGCTGCACCGGCGCAGCTACCCGTGCAAGCGCTGCAGGAGTTCCCCGCGGGTCCGTGCACCGCCGGAGAGCCCGTACTACCTCTTTGCTGCGCTCATCCTCCTCGGGAGCAGCCTTCTGGTTCGTCAGGAGATCAAACAAAATGAGCGACCCTAAAAACCAGGCGTGGGCACACAGAGCGTCAGCGTCTCATCAGGGAAAAGCCCCAGGTCACCTCTGTTCTGGGACGACAGAGCAGCGGCCTCCCTGCTCCCACAGTACGGTGACGCTCACGGGACCCGCGGGTGAAGCCCCTTACCCAAGCTGTGCCCCGCAATGGAGACCCCCCCTTTGAAGAGGGGGTTCCTCTGCAGGAAGAGCTGGTACAGGCGGTTCATTTCAGACGCCACCGTGTCCACGATGGTCTGGCAATAGGTGGAGCTGTTGTAAAAGAAAACGTCCAGGATGGTGTCGTTGATGAAGTGACGCAGGCGATTGATGCTCGGCAAAGTGATTCGCTCCAGGTCGCTATGGGGGGAAAAAGAGGAGAGAGGGAATTGCAGTTAGAGGTGCCAGCGAACCCCACCGCGTTTCTAAGGCAAAACCTAAGTTCAGAGAAGGATTGCCACCGTCTCAAAGGACATAATGTTGTAACCCAGCCCCTCGGTTCGTGCCGAGACCGAAGGCAGAGCACGGCCTGTGCTCTCTTACTCTCCAGGCTTTTCCTCCCCAGGAGCCCAACCTGCTCTCTCCCCTTCCTAGGGCACTGCAGAGCAGTGCTGGAGTGCAGAAACCGGGTACTCGGTTTCCAAAGGCCTTTGGCAAGGTGTGGATGTCCGCGGTCCACCCTGATGTTAGCCAGGGAAAGGCAGAAGCCTCTCCTCTCCGGCTGGATGCTGATCGGAGCAGGCGCCTGCTGCCCTCCGCCAAACAGGGCTGCAGAAAGGCGGTGGGGAGGGGGTCTGGCACGGAGGTGGTCTGCGGGACCCCTGCCTACCCCTGCATGCCCACAGCCCTAAACGCTCACAGCTTTCCCTTTGCCTGCAGCGGCCAGCAGAAATAGCAGAGTTTACGCGGGAGGAGGCTGGCTGTGCGCTTTGCCATTCCCGCGGACACCGGAGGAGATGGCTGGTCGGGACACTTACACGTCCACGCCGGTGGAGTGGAGGGAGCTGTGCCAGTTCACAGGTAGGAACTCCACCCGGCCGATCTGCTGCTGCTCCTGGGCTTTCTTGAAGTGTGCTTGCAGCATGCTCAGGGAAACGTTCCTGAAGTCGTTCACTGGAAAAGAGCATGAACTCTTACTGGGAGCCACCGGGGCTACAGGGCAAGCCTGCTGCATCAACAACACTTAATAAGATAAAAGAAAAGATCATTACCAGGGGAAATCCCACCAGGGTCTTTAATCTGCTGCTGCTACCCTAAGACCTTGAATCTTTAACTACAAGATCAGGGGAAGGCTCCATGTCCTTACATGTGCGTTTACTGGATTTTGCTGTCCCATCTGTAACAAGCCGCCTTTCCGCATGGGCAAGGCTTTAACACAGCAGTTAGGATAAGAAAGGTACTTTGAAGAATTTTTTTTAAAAAAAAAAACCCCAAACATCTATTGCAAAGATGCGTGTGTTAGGGAATGATAAGGGAGGAGGTGAACTTGAAAGTGCTCTGTTCTGAGGGAGAAAGGCTGATTTCCTTCATTTCAAATGGTCAACAGCCTTGAAAATAGTTTCATCAGATGAACATGAAGAAGAATAGACTGCATTAAAGCAGAGGTATATTTTGTAGGAACTAAAGACAGCCTGCTGTGAAAGATCTCAGCTCCCTTGATTTCTACAAGTTAAATCATGTCGGGCTTCCAGGCAGTTTGAGTGATCACCTCTCCTACGGAACCAGAGCACTCTGAGCAAGTAATAACAAACAGGCTGGACCGGAGTTACTTGGTTTAGTGCCCTGACTCCAATACTGATCCACAGGGGATGCTCAGAGGAGTGTGTAAGACCAGCGACACTTTCGCACGCTCTCCTAACCTCCAGGCGTTTGCAGCCTGGGGATTTCCTGAGCCTGAAGCAGCGTCCCCGGTTTGGGTCCGAAACCGCTCCAGAGGCTGCTGGATGGGGTGTCGCCTGTTAGGCTTCACCCAGAGAGATTAACCCGTAGCAATAGACTGAGCAGGTTACTAATTAGTTTAGCAGGTTTAGACAGTTACTTGGAAAATCTGTATCCAATTTGGGAAACTCACTATTTTGAGCAGCAGCAGAACACAGTGATGAAAAGTGGTTGCCCGGACCTTTCCAGATGGTAGGATTTAGTGGGTTAGCGAGCATTGCGTTCACGCTCCCCACTGCAGTCAGCAAATTCAACCATGTGCCTTTGCCAACGTGAGTGTCGGGATGGTGCGAATGCGCTCTGACAGCGTTTCACGCACTCTGCGCGGATGAGGGTTTACTGGCTCCGCTACAAGCAACGCGCGGGAAGAGCACCGCGCCTACCGCACTGGACGATGCTCCTGAACCGAATGTCGCACGCAGGGCCGATCCCGTGCACCACGAAAACCAGGTGATCAATTTGCAGCGGCTCTCCTAAGGAGGAGAAAAGAATTCAGAGCGCAGGCCCTGCGGGAGACATCGCTTAATGCGGCACCGACCCGCTCCACAGGAGAGCGGAGCCTCCCGTCCTCACCTCAGCCAGGTAAAAACCTTTGGGTTAGCGCCTGGATTTTGTGCCTACAGGGTAGTGGGATTTCTCACGTTTCTGAACTCTTTGTCCTGCTAAATTCAGCTGCCCACCCTGGGATCGATCCGGATCGACAGGACAGTAGAGGAAGGCGAGGTGGCTCGTCCCCCCCTTCTGCCACCATCCTCACTTCAGCAGGGGTGGCTGGTCCTCGCAGTTCACACCCACCCGGCCGTGGGGCACGTTCAGCGTGGGGGGAGGACGGGACCAGGGGGTCTCGGTCCGGCTGCCCTGTGCCCAGCCTGCCCTGCTGAGCCACCGGCCCCCGCGTAGCTGCATCTCTCAGGCAGGCACCGGGTGGAGTTACGTCTTGTTCTCGGTTTCCCACACGCTTCAGTTTGCATAGGCGCTTCCCTGAAGGCACGCGCGTGGGGAAAGTGAAGGGGTTAGACGGGAATAACGTGCTGGGGACAAGTCCTGAGGCTGGACCGGGCGCTCGGGGACAGCTGGGAGCGGGCAGAGCTGATGCACAGCTTCAGAGATGGGGAGAGCA